CACTTTAACATTTGGTGATGTGTAACTCATCCATGCTGCTGATTATCCATGCTGCTGATTTCTAGCTTTTAAGCTGCTATATTCATACCCATCTGCTCACTACAGACTCATGTTCAGGCTGCTGTTTAATATACCATATTATTTTGCATTATTAGTGTTTAGCATATATCTTAGATCCTCATGTATTGTTTCTTTTTATACTTTATATGTATTGCTATTTTTGGGTGTAACTGGGACTTTGGGTACCCAATTTCGTTCCATCTCATGTAGCACATGTGATACGAATGACAATAAAGAAACTTGAACTTTGAACTTTGAATAGGTTAATTTTGATATCAAAATCTGCAAAATCAACATTATGTCCAAGCATGTGCAGCTCTTTAAACAGCCTCTTTGATTCTCATGTATAAAAACGTAACTTTTGTTTCTCCTGTAAGAGTTGTGCCACCAGTGAAGGTCAACATGTCACTGCAAATCTGCAGTGCAAGGCCTTACTGCTTCAAGATTCAATTACCCGAGCTACTTCTTTTACTTACTCTGTGATTAATGAAAGCTACGGCTACAGGAAAAAGGGGTCAGTGAAGGTTACACAATGGTACACACATGTGCCCTGATATCCCACGTAGTTCGGGTGGAAAGGAAAAAAGGAGCACTCAAGGTGAATTGTTCATTTCCACAGGTTTTATCAAAATTTGCACAAGTTATCACCTTGACATTCAATGTCAGGCTGTTAAGAAAACCACACACAAAAAAAAACTAAATGTGTCTTCTTTCTCATTTGTTTGGTTTAATAAGAAAATGTTCATCTGTAAAGCTTTATTTAAAAGTATGTCACAGCCTTTTCATTCTATAATTTAAGTGAGAAAGTCTCAAAGCGTCTCACTGGCTGAGTCATCTACAGCTGCCTCCTAATTACTTTGTGTGTTGTAAAACTCTCTCTTTACACATTCAGATCACTTTTTGACTCATATGACAGATTCTTCTATTTTTAATTCTGTGTGATTAACATTTGTTGCAGCAATAACATCTGACAGTGAATAATAACAGAGATTTCATTCATTTTCTGCTTCTTTTAGATGAAAGAAATCCAATGAAGGTTGAAAAATACCAGTGTGTGTGCGGTAACATCAACACTCATATTAGCCTGAGCTGGTCAATAATTCTGTATCTTTCACTCTGCATGATATTTGTCAAGCCGGACCACATCTGGCTACTTATTTCACGAGAAAAACAAGTGTGAAACAAAGCAGGAAATATCCTTTCTGTTGTGAGTGTGCTGACTTCATTCAGTTTCCCATCTTAGGACATTCGTTTTGCACTCAGTCAGAACTGCCTGTTTGTTATTTTTTTATCGACTTTCCTCTTAGAAAAGTACAAATGCTGAAAGCATGCAAGGGAAATGAAAAGTTCTGGCCAAGTATGGCGTTAAAAGCTTTACCCACACCCCAATGGGTTTGAAGAGGTGCCAATAGGGCTGCTTTAACTTAAAAAAAAAAAACATGCAGGAAAAACAGAAGATAAAATAAGGAGGGAATTTGGTATTTAACTATAGAAAGGTTTGAGTGAACCCATTAAGTCCTTGAACATTTACTACAATATTTACTACATTTCATTAGATGTATTGAAAGCACAACACAGCTGCAGTTTCATTTTACATGACTGATTTGTGTGTTTAACGGCGGCAGCCAATTTGATTATTGCCACAGCTTTCCTGGCAGTCACATGTCACAAGCTGGTTCATGGAAATTTACATACAACTGCAGCAGGATTAGGAGTAGGGCTGCCCAGATGGTACAAAAATATACCAAAGGAGGAGATTAGGTGTATCTATCCACAACACTTCTTTCATCTTGTGTCCATGGGTAGTTCAAGCGACTATTCACCAAAAAAAAGCTTGTGGTTACCTGTGAGCTACAAACTACATGTTGGCAAGCTGCATTCCAGCTTCACCTTTCACTTTATTTCAAAAACTTTTTTTATGATACCACCTCATGATTCATGGTTTGTAGTGGTTGGATACAGAAAGCAACTTAAAGTAAGTAAAAACCGAGTACTTATACAGACAGGGTCTGATGAGTGAAGTGGAAACACGGAATAATTGCAACTGGGGACAAGTGGGAGTGGGCGTGGCAGGAGCTGAGGGAGCGGAAACTGAGGTGAAATGAACTGGTGACACATGGAAAAAACTGGAATGTAGAGAAAACCACAACAAATATATAACAGAGGGAAATAAATATATCGTCAATGAACACAAAAGAATACAGATCCAGACACCTCAAGCTGCATCTGGATCCCAACAATAGTTAGCTGTGAAGAAATCTGATGCTGTCCATGAGGATATATGTGCTGATAATCAAATCAAGCAATACTCCATGTATGTGTACCCTCCAGCAGTGAATCATGAGTAAAATGGGCATGTGCACAACAATGAAGTGTACAAAGATATTTAATACAAACTGTGTGTTTTGTTGCAGGGAACGTACAATGTAAGTTGTGGCAACATTTATGCAAAAGCAGAACAGATTTGTGGATTAGATTTTTCACATGAGCGTGAGCGTCATCCCCAACATGCTCTGAGTGCCACACACTGAGCAACATCTTCCTTACTTCGGTGAAATCAAGTGTTTCATTGTACTGTAGTTAAAATTGCACCAAAACAGCTAGAAGGCTGTCATTTCTCAACATGAGAGATTAGGTTTGGTTTATTTGTCATATGCAGGTCAACACAAGGTCAACAATGCAATGAAATGCTCAGGACGAGGAGAACGGTCTGGACTCACCAAAAAAAACTGCATGAAATACCAAAGTATGCATCAGAAATACAAAAACAAAGCATCAAAAGTGGAAAAAGAAATACACCTACAGCAGCATGGTCCTATTGACAGAGGGGTTTTGCTAGCAGTGAGGTTCTTTAAGTGGTGTGGTCTTGTTGGCAGTGCAGTCCCATTAGCATCATGATGATAATAACGACCGCAGCAACTGCCCTCCAGAACCAGGTCTGGCAGACACGGGACATCTAAAGTTTCCCTGCAGATCCAAACTGTTCCGTAGAGTTTGGTCCGCACAGGCAGATGGAGGATCATGGAGACGACCACCATGACAGGCCGGAACCTGAGCCCCAGGCTGGAAGGGGGCCGGGAACTGAGCCACGATGGCATGATGGCAGGATAGCAAGGCAGTGACACACAAAACTCCAGAAGTGCGTTGCGGTCACACCCGTAGTGTGGGTGTGCAGTGTAGGTACAAAATAAAGGTAAAAACAAAAACAACAGGATCAACAAAAGAGCGAGTCGAAGCAGAGCTCCCATCAGTGCTACGCATGTGACGTCACTATGATCTTAATTTAATACTAAGATCCTCTGGTGTGCAACAAATATTCCAACTTTAACTTTTTATTCAAATTAGTGTGACGTTTAAAACACTTGTCGCTCAGAGTTACAAATCTTTTCATAAGAGCAATTCAGATCAGTTGAATTTGTTTTTGGCTGTGAGCACTATCCCAAGAGTTGTGTTAGCAGCCAGAAGAAAAGATGATATCTGAAGTTGGTCATCAGCTGAAGGTTACCGTGACAGAGACTCTGTGGGTGACAGCGGTTTGATATGTGTCACAGGGCGGCAACAGATGCCGCCTTGTTCTTTTAACAAACTCCCATAAACACCGGTGAGCACCTTCAATTCAAATAAAGGGTAAAATAGCAGCAGAGGGAATTTCAAATAGGAAATAACGATTGATGCTTGCATGACAAGTGGACGTCCCTTTGCCTCCCCAGCCCCTTTTGAATGAATCCAGGCATAGGATGACAAAGGGAAGCCTACAGGTCAAATCAGTTGAGGAAAAGGGTAAGGAAGCAAAAATTATGCTCATGACTTCTTTCAAAGCAGAAACCTTTTCTACATGTTTAAAGTTAAAGCGTTAGAAGCCATGTGGAAGCAGCGACACACAAAGAACAGTTTCATTTAGCATGCGTTACAATGTCACCATCAACAAGCCTCAGCGAGGGTTCTGACAGTGAACAGAAACGGTGTTGACAAACGTGTGATCCGAGTCACGGCAGTGCACTTGGTTACACCTGCTTCTTGACACCGGGGGTTCACTACATATCTTAAATGAGCACTGATGTGTGAATTCACTTCCACCAAACTCAAAAAGAAGCTTTAGAAACTGGCTTCATGTAGAAACAAACCAAAAAAAAACGAACAAAAAATAGATAAATCATGGCAGCAGAAAGCATTTCACTGGCTCTGGTCTGAATTTGATCAAATCTAAGGATGCTACTAAACTTATATGTTTGCATCCATGCATAAAAAAATAGAACCAAAATATAAGGAGGCTTTAAAAGGGTGACAATAATTAAAGAACTAAGGAGGCATTTGTTTCAACTGTAGTGTGTTAAGACGATATAAATATGGTTTATCGCAAAATTATATTAATACAGAACGCCACTGAACTGAGGCATTAGTGGAGAAAACATTTCACGTACATTTAAGTCAGTTTTCACAATCTTCACATTTAATTATAACACAAAAATACAAAAAACAACAATAAAAACACTTTCCACTTTTATCGCAGCTCTTTGTGTTTGGACTCCCGTTATGTTTTCTTATCTATGTGCGATCGGGACTTTTTTAACTTGGTTATTTTTAGCTGGTTTGATTAGACAAGTCAGAACTGGAAACCGGCAATTTTCAAGCAGTTTTGTTTGGGGATGCATCAGAGCTTTCAAAAAAGCTTTGAACGGAAAAAAAAATAAATGCCTCCTGCAGAGAGAGACACTTTAAAGTCTCCAAAGCTGATTAAGTTCTGCCCTGATGTCTAAAAATACACTAATACTGTGTGATCTGGTAGAAATTGTGTGTTTGTGCAATGAAAAATATGACCCCAGGGTATTATTGTTGTCAAAGTACCAAGCGATGCGTCATGCTGTTGTCACCTGTAGTTTAAAACATGGCATCTAATTTAAAGAAGATGATGTCAGAAAGAGACAGTAAATTTCACTGACGTGTGTTGATCTTCTGCAGAGAGATGTGCTTCTCCAGCTGTCGTCGTAGTCGGACCTCAGCCCCGTACTTCCCCGTGGTGCCATTGTCTGCCAGGATGAAGTGTGAGTGGAGGCTATTCAGAACCGTCAACTTGCTCAGGGGGTTGGACATGGTCTGGTATGGACGCACCACCTAACCAAGAGGATGATTTGGAGGAAATTGTCAAGCATAGAATGACTGTGGTTTGTTAACTTGATGCACAAATTCATCAGCTGCTGTTTAGGTTTTCAGACACATTTGGCAGGTGATTCATCTATCCCTGTTTTCAAGTAAGATCAAGGTAGTAAAGCCAAATTCTTCAAATGAGAAAGTTTTCCAGATGAGGATTTTGCTGAGATTTTTGAGAATTCTCTCCTGTTCATTTTGGTGATACAGTAAGAGTCTGTTCTCTTCAGCAGCTGTCATTGGGAACTGCTGTCACCTCTAAAGCTTCCAGTTATGGGTCTGAGTAATCCAAACAACATTGCTGTGTTGCAGTGCCTGGGGTGAAGAATGATCATCCTCTCATAAACCACTTGAAGCAGCCGACTTGGGACCAGAAAGTCACAGGTTCAATCCCCAGTCGTTCCCACATTTATCTCTGAGCAAGACACCTAATCCCTAATTGCTCCCCGGATGCTTGCATAGCTGCCCACTGCTCCACCTGGGTGTATCTCAGGTGTGATGGGTTAAATGCAGAGAACTATTTTTGCCATTGTATGAGAACATACAATGACAATCCCAGACTTCCTCCTTCTCTTGAGAAACCAGCAGCACAGGAAGTACAGATACAGACAACCTGATGAAGGAAGAAGCTTTTTTTTTTTTTTGCACCCAGTTGTGTTCTTTTGAAGCATTTTTATCAAATGTTGCATCATGTATTATAGTTGTTGTCTAAAGGGGCAGCTGACACTGAAAAAAGAAGCATACTGTTCTGTGCAAAAGTTTTAAACCACCCTTGATTTGTTTGTACGCTTTAAGGAAACAAACTTTAATGTAAACCCCTTAAGGTGGTCTTGATCCCTCTTTTTCTTTTACTTTTTTCTTTCTTATGTTGTTTTTTTAATATATATTTCTTTTTTATTTGGCTGTTTTTTCTATAATTGTCTGTCCAGTCTTCTATCCAACAGCATATTCTGCAGTATGAGATTTAAAAAAATCAAGGTGGAGAAGTGAAATAAAAAAGAAAATGGATGCTATTTAAAAGTTCTGCTTTTGAGTAAATTAGAAGAAAAACGCAGCCAAGACCTAACACAGGATCCGAGCTCCTCGTGTCCAGTTTACACCTGAAATCACCTGGTTGGTGCTAAAACCCATTTTATGTTTGTCAAACTACTGTATAGTTTTGCTGGGATTCTTTATAGTCTAAACTAAGGAAATTGAAACAAATTGTATCTTGTGGCACAGTAGCAAAATGTCCAAAGAACTTAATTAACTCTTTCAGGGATGAAGATGTTCACATCCTGAACAGAGAGGAACGATGGTTTGAGAGAGGAGTAAAGGAGGCCATCTTTGTGAAAAGAAATCGTCCATCGTTAAACAGGGGTGGAGGCCTCCGGGTTCAACTGTCCCCCTCTTACAATGCTGTGATTGCTAGTATCACTGAGCCCTCTGTGAACAGTAAACAGCCATCAGTGTGCTAATGATCCATTGTTAGGCTGATGGTCCTTCTTGAGCATGTGATCAGCTGGTTTTGGTTGTCAGCAGCAAAACTGGTTGATCCACTCTGAGAAGGTGCTATTTAAGAGACTGAGCTGAATACAGCACCTCAGACTGAGGAAGTCTCTTGGATGAGAGACGAAACGTTTCTACATTTTTTTGTTGATTTGCTTTGTTTTGTTTTTTTTTGAATGTCCAGAGGACCAGATTTAACTTTTTTAGATTTTTCTACCTGGATTATTGAGCATGCATCAGGATACTGGTGCATCTATTTAACTTTGCAACATTTTACTGCAGTGATTTCTGAATTTAAAATGAAGTTGGTTAAAAAGATTAAGGTTAAGAAGTTGGTTATAGCATTTTGGCTAGGTGTTGTTTTTAAAGTGATTTATAAATAAAGTTGTGTTGAATTATTGTATTGTATAAGGAACAACAACTATAACAAAGTCCTCTAAAAAGTACTGGATGGAAAATGGGTGAAAAGGCAGCGGAAATCTAAATCATCCTGTTGAACGACTCGCATAAAATCTGGTGATGCAGATAATTATTTAAAAACAGGCTCTTGAGAATAAAATATATGAAAATGAAGAATAAAATCAGACTTCCTGTCCTTATCATTTCTGAAGGATTTCTTTTCTTCTTGTTGCTGCAGGGCTGGGAGCTGATGGTGATCCCCAACAAGGCGTTTCACACCAGAGTATTAATTTTCTTCTTATCGTCATTATTTGAGTACTGTGCTCCAAAAGCTGTCTCTTGTGAGCCTTTCAAAGGTAATACATTGCAGAATCATTTGCATTTCACACCTTTTTTTGACCGTTTCTTTAGTTGGCTGTATAAATTTCCCAAATGACACCTTAATGCATTTGCACAGTCCTTCCTTTTACACATTGCACAGAGAAAAGTGAGCTGATGTTTAGAAATGATTTGTTTTCCTGAAAATGATATATGGTGCACTGGGAAAGTGCCAAACAAAATGAGGTAAACTCGTCTCATTATTACGCATACAGTTAAAGCTAATCAAGTGAGGGGGAAAAGTCCCTCAGCACTTTATCACCCCGTTTCAGCTTCTGACATTAATCGTCTCTGCTTGACTTGTTTCAGTGGGATGGATGCGGCACATTCTGATGAAACTTCACCAAAACCGTGAACGCAGACTCCCAGAGATTTGCGTGAGTCAGCAGGAGCTCTGCGGTCTAATGAGGTTCTGCCAGCTGTCCAATTCACTGTGAAGGAGGGTTTATCACAGATTGGATTGGCTAACTCAGCATCTCATTTAATAAGCTGACACCCTAAGGCAAATACCTGATGGTCTATACAAGCTAATGGGAATCCTAATAAAATCATTTTGAAAAACCCACACAAAATACAGGTTTTGGAAACCGTTAACTGGCATGTGACCGTTTTGAGAATTGGTGTAAATGCACACAAATGAGTTCTGAGGCAAGAGAGTCCGCTCCATGACCTTACTGAGACTTACATCTTTACCAACGAGATCCTCTTGATTTTCAACGATGCCCCACGGAGCAATACCGATGGTGCAGATCTTCCCTCTTGATTTGGAGGCGTGGTCCTTCAGTGCATCCCCCACATGCCGAATCACCCCTGTGTCCGAGCGTTTGGAAGAGAGAAGAACAAAGATGTGTTTCGTCACCATCAATCACCAGCCTAATGTCACAGTGATCCACTCTGCAGCATCTGTTAGGAATGAAGAGGACAGCATGACATCTAATGTAAAGAGACACACACCTCCAGGCCTCTAGGTGCTGCTCTCAGGGGAGCAGCAGTCAAACCTGTGGGCTGCCTTATCACATTCCTCCAGCTCACATTCACATCTTTCTCCACCTCCAGCCACTGTCCTTCCAATCCAAGCATCCATCCATTATTCAAGCCTCTCTCCTGCTTCTGTACTCATTCTGTCACTAAATCTCACTCTCTATTCTTTCCTGCATTCAAGTGTGGTCACTCTACAACACCCAGTGCAGTGCTGCTTTATTTTTTTGTCTGTTTTTTTTTTTTTTATCTGCTATTAAACATCACAGACCTGTTGTTTTTCTTTTAAGTCTGCTAAATTAAGACAGAATTAATTAAATAGCTTTCCCCCCTGTTACTTAGAAATGATATGGAATAGAAGCTTCAAAGTGATGACAAATTGTTAACTACAGATCTCAGAGGAATAATAATGTGGGCACCTTCCAAGGAAAACTCCTATTTAAAAGGTACAATATAGAAATGATTATATGATTATAGCAGTTGTGGACCGTCAGGGTGAGCAAAGCCTTCTCAGCTGGCCTAAACACAATCAGAATCAGTGTTTTATATTTTTTCTCAATATTATTCTGAACTGTCTTTTCTTTTTATTTCATAGCGTTCCTCCTTGTTGTGCAGCTTCCAGCAGCTTATATTTATAGAGAGCTTTAATCCAATCATATTTTGACCATCGTGTGTTGCTGCAGTCAAAGAAAAAGCCTTCAGAACCAACAGTGCAGGCACCTGTAGCTAAAACAAATGTTAATGAAACTGTTGCTTTGACCAATCAGATGTTGAGCTGGTGACACCAGGGCCTAGCAGGATGCATTGGACAGTCAGAGAATGTACTGGTCAGAGCTAGAAAACTGCATCTGCTGTGCAACCTGCACAAGCTAAGTGTCTAGTGGACATTTTGGTATGGTACGGTATAAAGTTTATTCATTTTTAAAAAAGTACAAAACAATTCCATAACAATATAAAAAAAGATACAAAAGATTTAAAATGAAAGGCAGCAGAAAGAAGAAAAAATCTTATTATATCTGCCCCTTTTTTCAAACAATTATTTCAATCATAATAATTTTCAAGTAGCAGAACAAAATGAATAACTCTTTCTAATGTTTCTAATTCTAATACAAAACACACTAAGCTACTTCATATATTTTTTCATTTTTTATATTTTTATTTTTTCATAATTTTCAGCACTAAAGGGAATTAAAACTTGAGCCAGAAACACGACAAAGCAAACTCGACTTTCAGCATTAGCCTCCAAGGGGATACGACTTATTGTTGAAACTGAACCGCACAGATAACTGAACTCTTGTTGAGGAAAGAAAGGAGGATGGAGTTTATGTACACCAACTAAAAACTTCTGGTGAGTAAAATACATTTTACTCAACTGTTTTATATATTTTTTTGTCTATTTATTACATCCTTAGTCATGCTTTGAATATGTATGTGGTAATGAAACATATTAAATGTGTTAATTGGGTTTATTGCCCCAGTAATGGTATTCATTCTCACTTCATGAGATACTTGTCTGTGATGCAGCACCATATTATCCTGTGTTTCTATATATTATTCATTGTTTCTGTAGCTGTGGCATCGTAATGACGGTAATCAAAAGGTGGATACATTCAAGTTGGACATCACTGAAGGTCCTGGTGTGAAATGCGTGACCCTCCACTGGATTATAGAAATTATAAGTCTGAACTGTATATGTGCAATAAGCAAGTAAGCATTTTGTGTCATAATCAAAACAAAATAAAAATTAAATCTGCTGGAAATAGCTGTACCTTCACGTCTTCAAACGATCGACAGTCAAAACAGAAACAAACGGCTCTGTGTCAGTTACTGAGAACACTTTCTAAATCTGCATTTATTCATTATGCACATCACTACTCTGGAAAATATTTAGTTGTCAAGTTCAAAATTCATTCTCAAAGATGCACCAAAATCATCCAGATTCAGCATCTTGAAAGCTCAGGTTCACTCACCGAAAAGGTTCGATGAATTCAATTTTTAAAAATGACACTGACTGTAAAATTACAGATGAAGTTTTTAAATTACAAAAAAAAAAAAAAAAATCACATTTACCTGGTATGTCACAAATATAAAAATAAGTTCCTGTTTATCTTTAAAACACGTTAGAGGATGTTTTCTGTGTTTTACCTGTGTTCACTCCTCCTGTAAAAATCCAGGCTCCTGTTGTCATGGCAGCCTTGATGAGCCCTTTACCAAAGACCTGCTTGAGTTTGGGCTGCAACTCGAAGTTCTGTAGGCCTCCATGGACTGAGATGAGCAGCTTAGGAAGCTCCAGCTGCCACTCCTTGGTCATCAGGTGCAGCAGCAGGTCAGGCTTGGTGTCATAAGACACGCGCACATACTGGAAATGAGGCAGAGCATTTACATGAACACACTTCACGTCAACATTGGAAATACATCTCTGACATGAAAATAAAATTATAACGCGTAATGATTTCAGGCGGATCGGTGTTTTAGACCTGCATGAGCATGTGTTTTTCTCTTTCGATCTAGGGAAAAAAAAGTCTTGAACAGATGTGTGCTGTGATTGAAGAAGCACATGAATTACAGAGCATCTGTTTATCCATCCAAAGCATCCTCAGAAGTTCAGAAGGTGTTGATGAATAATTTAACACTGGGAACAAGTCACAAATAAAACAGAAGAAAGACTCTTCATTCTAAGGACGCTACGGAAGCTGCTAAAGTGCTTTTTATAGATGAAGAACGCTTGAATTCATTTTATCACCAGACTCAGAGATGAATGTGTCAGTAAAACGACAAATTATCTACTACAGACTGAAACGCTATTAATCGTCAATGACATTTATTTCAGGTATCTGCGGTTAAACTACATCTTTTCAGTTTTATGACAAACATTATGACAACCCTCGTTTATTTCATCCATCTGAGAGGTTTCTCTGTTCTGTGTTTTCTGCACCTCCCTGTGTTTTTCTCTTCCTCGTGTTTCTGCTCCTGCGCACACCTGTCCGGAGTTCCAATCACCCCAGGTGTTTCCCACTCAGCCTCATTGGCATCTTTTCAGTAGTCGCTCGTTTATAGCGGGGGATCTGTACCCTGAAGCCCCGCGATAAGTGAAAAACTGCTAAGTAGGAGTTGTAGTACAATAATAATAATGTGTTATGTATTGTCATCATTGTATGTTCCCATATAATAGCAAAATTGGCTCTCTGCATTTAACCCATCCACCACCAGGTGGTGCAGTACAAGTAGTAAGTAGTAGTTTATTTTAGTATATATAAATATAAAGGCATTTTAAACCCTTCCCACACTCTTGCAATAATCTAAACAATGTTTCTAAACTCTAAATGCTCTAAAAAAGAGCACATAATGGCATGATCTGTGCTCTCTGCCACCTTCCAGCGCTCTCGACCACGCCCACTTCTCATGACACACTGCAGGAGGAAGCTTCTCCTGCACTGTGGGCTGCACAATTGTGCAGCAGGTACTAAAAATAATTTATTTTAAATAAAAAGGTTAATCCATCAATCAGCCAGTTGTGTGTCTTGTCCAATCTTACTTTGAAAAACGGTGAAAGACCGAGCCCACGAAAATCGAATTGCGAAGTAGCGAGGGACTACTTTATTTAGTTTGTGTGTTGTCACTCCTCATCCGGGCATTTTCCCTTTCACTGTGTCTGCTCTATTTGTCATCTCCTCCTGCCACGTAAGTTTTTTGGTGCCCTGTCAGCACTTTGTTTTGATTTTTGCTACAATAAATAATTATTATTTGACGCCTGAGTCTCCTGCCCTTTGCCTGCACATGGGCTCAACCCTTAACTACCAGATCACAGCATCACTTTCAACTTGTTGATAAAAACAGCGTTCACATTTGCATCTTTTTCATTTTTTCCTAATTTCACAGGAAGTGACATTTATAAAATCCAGTCTTTTGATCAGAGGTCAATACTGTATTTTTAGAGGCTGAGAAAAGCAAAGGAAACAGAAGAACACTTGACATCCACAGTTCACACGTTTCTATGTCCTTCCATTTTATTGTTTTACTATTGTGCTCAAAATCCCTGGAGTTGTTTGATAATTGTTTGTCTTGGGATGTTAACATTAACATGAACATGGTCCAGAGAATACAGAAATCTGAGCTACACAACATTTGATGCATTTTTTTAATTCAATTAAAACCACGAGCTGCACATCAAGTCACTGCAGCATGAAATAAATCCTGAATACTGACCTCTTCCATCTGAGTTCTGCTCCAAACAATCCCACTGACCATGCAGCTCGAGCTGGACCTTTATAAATATTTATTGAGAAAATACTAGTTTTGGTCTTCCTCTGAAAAACTGGTTCATGCATTTGTCACGTCTAGACTGAACTATTTCAAATGTTTATTTTCTGGGTGTCCACAAACTTCATCAAAAAGTTTCCAGTTGATCCTAAATGCTGCTGCCAGAGTCTTAACTGGAGTTAGTGGGAGAGATCATATCTCTCCAGTTTTAGCTTCTCTCCATTGGCTCCCTGTCAAATCCAGAATTGAAATCAAAATCTTACTTCTAACCTACAAAGCTCTCAACAACCTAGCTCCATCTTATATTACAGATCTTATTGTTCCGTATTTTCTTAACAGAGCACTCCGCTCTCAGACTGCAGGTTTACTTGTGGTTCCTAGAGTTTGCAAAAGGAGAATTGGAGGAAGATCTTTCAGTTCTCATGCTCCTCTCTTGTGGAACCAACTTCCAGTTTCTGTCCGTGAGGCTGACACATTGTCCAGTTTAAGACTGGGATTAAGACTTTTTGATAAATCCTATAGTTAGGATCAGCTTGGGTTTCTTGAGCTATCTCTTAGTTATGCTGCTATAGGCTTAGACTGCTGGAAGACAAACTGACGACATTTCTTCACTCTGCTACTGTCTTTACTTACTCTGCTCAAACTGTTTTGTATTTGTAATTATTTTTTCAATCCTAATGTGTTTTTGGTCTTTCAGGTTCACCTGCACCTACATCTGGACCTACCATTCTGTGTTCGTTTCTCCTTCCTGTCCTCTCAAACCAGTCAAAGCAGATGGCCACTTGTCCTGAGCCTGGTTCTGCTGGAGCTTTCTTCCTGTTAAAAGGGAGTTTTTTCTTTCCACTGTTGCCACTGTGCTTGCTCAGGATGGGAGACTGTAACGAAGTGAAGATGCAACTTGTCTGCTGGATTCCTTAGATAGAGAATTTTCTAATTGGCTTTTCTGTGTATGTGAATGTTCCTGTTCAGTGTCCTGAGACAACTTTATTGTGATTTGGTGATATATAAATAAAGTGAACTGAATTGAATTGAGAAAGTCATAAAGGTTGCAGCATCTGTTAGCAGCAACCCTTCTGAACAGATGGCATGACTGTGCTTCAATAATGCTGGGACACTGTATCCAATTTGAGTAAAATAAATTAAAACAAACACCTAATTATTTTTAATCCACAAAAAACAGCACAGAGATTAAAAAAAAATAATGCTTTTTTCATTTGATGCTTGTTCAAAAGAATTGAAGATGCTTTTAGCTTTTACTTAAGTGTGTAAATACTGAAGTGAGTTACCATTGCTTTATTGGAGTGTCCTCCTCCCTGGAACTCAATGGTGCCGAAGGCATCAGTGGGGCTGAGCTGAGTGTGTTTGCTGATCGACCACTTCTCCGACAGGCTGTCATTCTTGGCCAAACGCTCTGCCTTGTCATTCTGACTGGATGAGATGCCGGGTGGCAAACCCACATGCTGACCTATGAGACGACCACAGCAGCACCTGTGCGGGAGAATAAAGCAGGAGTAAACAGAAGACTGGCATATTGCACAGAGCTTTACAAAGAATAATTGAAATGTTGAGACATCTGAGCCCCGAGCAAAGTGGCTGTAACAGTAAGACGGCAAAAGGGAGAGAGGGAGAGCTCGTGTGACAGAGAAAAAGAGTGTAAAAGCTGCCATAATCATGTGTAAGAGGTGGGCAAGACTGGAATGGCAGCTTGTCATCACACTTTCATCTTCTTATTGGGGGGAAAGACGGAGAAGGATTTGTACAGAACTTCACTGGCTTGTCTCTTTCTGTTTCATCCTTTTTAGACATATGTCTGTTTTTTTTTTCCTCTCCCTCTCAGCATCTTCAGGACTTGGCAGAATGACAGTCATGTACTATTCCTACATGAGTAGATGCTTATTCAGATGTGGTGAATGCAGGTTTGTGTTTTAGCCTCTCTGAATGGAGTGGGAGTCCTCGGAGGAAGAGAGTCAGGAGGTTTTGATTTTCACTTGAAGTTTCCATCATCTGTTTTGTTTTACCAAAGCTTCTTTACCCTCATGAGCACAAGCCTTTGTGAAAAAAGAGCATCTCTGCTTCCACCTTCTTCTCTCCCTTATGTATGTTTATGCTAATTTTGTTTACCTAACAAACAGTAGCTTTCTGTGCATGCGTGAGTACATTGAATGTAACTAAACTGAGTTTGTTTTACCATCAGCTGTGGTAAATAAAACATACAAGGCCATTGTGGAAGTGACTTTGGGGAACAAGATGTAAAATATGTTGACAAATTTATAGTAAAATTGTCTCCTAAATCTTCTTGAAGCACTGTTTTGATTTTGATACAAGTACAGTGATAGCATTATCAGAATCAGAGATTCTTTATTGTCATACACACCACATGTGGTACATATGGTGGAGCAAAATTATGTACTCAGCGTCCCAGTTACATCCAAAAATAAAATGTAAAAGAAAAACTGTAATAAGATCTAAGATATGAACTAAGAAAAACATCAACTAAATATACACTAAGCACTAATAGCATAAAAACAATACGCCGAACAGCAGCACAAACATGAACATGAGTCTGTGTGAGCAGATGAGCACGCATGAACACATCAACATTGAAACAGATCAGCAGCAACATGAAACAGATCAGCAGCAACATTGTGTCCTTTTTCACAGTGATTATTCTGGTTAGAGATTCATGAGTCTAACAGCCTCAGGGTAGAAGCTGTTCCTCAGTCTAGTGGTTCTACACTTAATGTTCCTCAACCTCCTTCCTGAGGGGAGCGGTGCAAAAAGTGTGTGTGCTGGGTGAGTGGGGTCCTTCATGATGCAGGTGGTCCTCTTCCTGGAGGTGTAAATGTCTGTGATGGTGGGGAGACTGACTCCAATAGACTTCTGTGCAGCCTTCACCACTCTCTGCAAAGCTTTTCTTTCTGCAGCTGTGCAGCCTCCATGCCACACGATGCTGGAGCACAGGATGCTCTCCACTGCACACCTGTAGAAGGAGGTGAGGACTGAGCTTCTCAGACCAGTTCGCCTCAGCCGCCTGAGGAAGTAGAGTCTCTGATGAGCTTTCTTGATCAGGCCTACATTATTGTTTTTATTTTATGTATATTGTGCTAAACAGGCTATGCATATGTTTAATTTTTGGTCTCTGCTGAAAACTTTGTGCACCAGTTAAATTGTATTCCCTCTCCTCTGTGAATCATATGATAAAAGAACACAGCTGTAAGACAGAAAATAGTTATAGTCTATGTTTTATTCTCTGTTATCTTATCAGGTTTGATATTAATAGTTCAATTCAGACCCAAACAAGCAACCACATTTTTATTTTCTTTCTTTTGGATGTTCTTTGTTTTCCAATAAATGATACAAAACATTACAGTTACACCCACTATAAATGGAAGATAGTGAATAGTATATCAAGCGTTTTATTTATGAAAATTTACAGTTTCACCCAAAATACACCCTTTTTACACCCTGCACCCTTACATAACAGACGAGTGCACAGCTGCAGAAAGAAAAGCTTTGCAGAGAGTGGTGAAGGCTGCACAGAAGTCTGTTGGAGTCAGCCTCCCCACCATCACAAACATCTACACCTCCAGATGCAGGAAGAGGGCCACCTGCATCATGAAGGACCCCACTCACCCAACACACACACTTTTTGCCCCGATCCCCTCAGGCAGGAGGTTGCGGATCATTAAGTGTAGAACCACTAGACTGAGGAACAGCTTCTACCCTGAGGCTGTTAGACTCATGAATCTCTAACCAGAATAATCACTGTGAAAAATAACATCATGTTGCTGCTGATCTGTTTCATGTTACTGCTGATCTGTTTCATGTTGGTGTCTTGATTTGTATTCATCTCCTCACAGAGACATGTTCGTGCTGCTTTTTGGCGTATTGTTTTTATACTATTAGTGCTTAGCATACTTTTAGTTAATGTTTTTCTTAGTTCATATCTAAGATCTTATTACTGTTTTTTGTTTATATTTTATTGTTGGATGTAACTGGGACCCTGTGAACACAGTTTTGTTCCACCACATGTACCACATGTGGTGCAAATGACAAATAAAGAAACTCTGACTCTGATTAAATTTCCAACCCTGTATCATGGAAATTATTTGTCTTTTGTCTTTGTTGAATTTTGCAAAAACAAATATTACACCAGCGTTTTATTGAATCTCTGCGGCTTTTAATAATTTCACCCATATTTTCTGTGTTTTCAAACTACTCATACAGTCTGCAGTCTTTGAACAAGAGGTCTTTTAGCCAGTCAGGAGTGTACAGTAGAACTATGTTGTGTGACAGCTGCAATAACATCATAAGCATTTACTCTGTACAATTTTTAAAAACATTAACTAGTTTTTTTTAACCACATCTTTCAGCTAAAATTACCACTGTTTGTTTTTTGTCACATCTGTTGGGATATTTTAAAATCTGGTGCAATACTTTAATATTTTTATTGTGTGTATTGAATTAGTGTTCAAGGTATGACATATACATATGACATATATTATTATGACATATATATATATATATATATATATATATATATATATATGAAATATATATGAATGTTTCTGTTCAGTGCCCTGAGATGACTTCTGTT